TTCTCAATAGTAAATGCTGGTTAGATCTGCGGCTCCTTTGAGGTGCCATTCCTTTTCTCCCTTCTCTCTCTCAAGTCATTTCCCTGGTTGAGTTAAGTCACTGATCCACTTAATCTTGGTTATGTTTAGTGGCCTGGAGAGGAGCTGATGGCAGGGAGGCAGATTGGGAAGGGATTCCACATGACTTAAGGGAAGATGACTTTGCATTTTCTTCAAGCAAGGGGGAGGGGGGCGGTCCTGCAGGCTCAGAGAGTTCAAAGGAATCTGGGATTTTCAAGGGCATCACTAAATGTCCATTTTATATGTCAGGGCCCATCCTTTCCCAACAAGGATTATAACCCAGTCATAGCAGGCCTTGGTTGGCAGTTTAAGCTTCTTTGGAGCATGGTTACTCATTGGAATTTAGCAATAGTCACCCAGTTATGTTATCCTTAGTTACTAATCCCACCACCCTTTTCCTCAAACACCTGATATCTCACACCATCTAGTGCATACCCCTCCACCAGTATCCCATCCCAATTTACAGTTTTAACAACTGGACTCACCTCATGCCAGGAGCTATTTCTGTTCCACCTACCACCAGTGATGGATCCTCCCTGAAGGCGCGGTAGCAAACTTTCCAGCTCCCAAACTGCATCTTATCATCTGCTTCCTTAGACCACTCCTGATACCAGTTGTCCTAGGTTGGGTTGTCCAAGAACCAGAGTTTAGAAAACAAATGTGTTTTAGGACATGCAGTCGACACCTGAGGAAGTAGGAAAAGGAAGCAGGACTAAGCAGAGGAAGAAGATGAGTTATGATCCAGCCCGACAGCAGCCTGCCTGGTCCCCTGGAGAGATCTGGAATTAAAAAGGTTAAAAACCCTCTGACAAAAAGGTATACAACGATGCCTCCTCCTCCAGAATTTTATTTGAAATTTGGCTATCATCGTTCTCTAGTTATCCAGTACCCACCTCAAGATCTGCTGACATTGGGGCACCTGGGTGGCTCAGTTGTTTGAGCACCTGCCTTCAGCTCAGGTAATGATCCCAGGGTCCTGGGATCAAGTCCTGCATGGGGCTCCCTGCTCAGTGGGGAGTCTGCTTCTCCCTCTCCCTCTGCTACTTCCCCTGTTTTTGCTCTCTTGTGGGCGTGCTCTCTCTCTCTCTCAAATAAATAAAATCTTTTTTAAAAAAATCTGCTGACATAGTTACATATGTGAGAATCTTATGATAGAAAAGTTCAGGTTCTTTCCCAAGGGTCTTTTTCACCCTCTATGTAAATCAAGGTGTGTATGGTGGAGACTGTTACCTTCTACCCAAATCCTTTCTCTTCTTCTCAATTCTTCCACATATGTTGGTGTCCCTTGCAGCTGGGGTGGCCATGTGATTAAATTCTAACAGTGGAACATGATTAGATGTCATGTCCAGTCCCTAAGAGAGCCAGTTTGCTTCCTCCATTTGCTCCTTCTCCTGCCAACTGGACCCAGGATGCGATGACCCAGCCTCAACCAAGCAAACAACAAGAAGGCTCTAAGTAGTGGCAGAGCCACAAGATGAAAGGAGTCTGGGTTGCTGAACCTCAAGTGGAGGAAGCCACCTATCTACCCGGAACACTGCCCCCCTAGGCTGTGAAGGGAGTTGTGTTTGAGCTATTACATTTTGGGGTCTGTTTATTACAACGGTTTAACTTACTTTTTTTAAAAAATAGATTTTATTTATTTGTTTGAGAGAGAGAGAGAGAACACAAGCAGAGGGGAGGGGCAGAGGGAGAGGGAGAAGCAGACTCCCCACTGAGCAGGGAGCCTGATGCAGGGCTTGATCCCAGGACCCTGAGATCATGACCTGAGCAGAAGGCAGACACTTAACTGACTGAGCCACCCAGGCGCCCCAACAGTTTAGCTTACCTTGACTGAAATTGTATATGAATAGATTTGGTAGCAAAGTGCCCAAATTCTATGGGTATCTGGAGCTTAGTTCTAATCCCACCTAGGACACTATTACATAAAGAAATTGAAGTCCAGAGAAGTTAATGAATTTGTTTAAAGACTCACAAGATGGCTAAAATTAGGACCCAACTCTTCTGAAACCTAATCTGGTTCTCTTTCCCTATGCCATTCCACCTTCTATGGTTCTGTAGGGTGGGTGTGGCGTGCTGAATGTGGCCATGAGATTTCTATTTCAGCAAGAGGGAAGGGCAGGGAGAAAAGGAGGGGATGCATTTTCTTGGCCTCAATTAGTGAGCCATTAGCTACCCACGGTGATTAAATTATCTGGAATGACTCCCAACTCCACAGCTTATACAGTTAAATGACAGATCGGCTCACAATTGTTTTGAGCACTCATTACTTCAATTTAATGTAGGCAAATGTGATCTTCAATATCAGGGCACCACAGTGTCATCAGGTCCTTGTCAGTTCATAATCATCTTTATCTTAAAGGAAATAAGAATTTGAATGAGGATGCCTGTTCATTTGACTGCTATAGTTTATTTTACATACAGAAATAAAATTACATGTAGCAAAAGCATTGATAACAAACATGATGATAAAATAAATAACTACTATTTATCATCTAATGAATGCCCACTATTTGTCAGGCACTGCAAAGAAACTTTACACACATGCATACACATTCAAAAACACACAGTGTAAGAAATATATATATATATAAGAATGTATATATTCTTTTTTTAAAAGATTTTATTTATTTATTTGACAGAGAGAGACACAGCAAGAGAGGGAACACAAGCAGGGGGAGTGGGAGAGGGAGAAGCAGGCTTCCCGCCATGCGGGGCTCAATCCCAGGACCCTGAGATCATGACCTGAGCCGAAGGCAGACGCTTAACCGACTGAGCCACCCAGGCGCCCCAGAATGTATATATTCTTATTTAATCCCTGTATCATCAGCTTTGCTGTGGTGACAACTCTCAAAATCCCAGTGACTCACACAATAAATGTCTATTTCTTACTCATGTTACATGTACTTCCTTGTGTTTTTTTTTTCATTCTGGGACCTAGGCTGAAGGTGCAGCCCTATAGGACATGTCATTCTGGTGGCTGAAGAAAGAGCGAAAGTAGTAGAAATTTGCGCCTTACAGCTTCTACTCAGACAAATCTACAACGTGTCCATTAATTCTAGTAGCCTAAGACCATCACATGGCCAAAGTCAAACATCAGTGGGGAATTAGAGAGTGGAGGCAGTGCAGATCCCATGGTAACAGGCTAGGACATATAATCCCCATGCAGGAAAAAGGGAAAGGAAACAATTGGGGACGATAACAAAACTTCAACGCTACAAGATAGATATTAATTCCACTTCCCTCTCCACTTTCCCAGAGAAGATAAATAACTTTTCTAAGTTCCTTCTAGAGGTTGGAAATACCCCTTTCAGTTAGGGTGACTAGGGGAGGCTTTGGTAAAATTTGAGCTAGGGTTTGAAGGTTAGGTAGGGCCTTGGTAAGGGAAGAGAGGGCAAGGACTTTGTCAGCAAAAGAAAACCCCAGAGTAGAGGTGAGGATATGCCAGCCAAACAAGATCAGTTGACCATAGAGGAGAGAAGAGAAAACTGGAGAGGACAGGGGTTCCTTGAATGCTGAGGAGTTCAAGGCTAAGGATTTAACTTCATTTAAGGGGCAGTTAGAAACCTTTAGATATTTTTGAGAAGAGAGTGCCATGATTAAAATGATTGCTTCCTTAGACTGACCTGACTACAGGGTGCAGGGTGGGCTGACATAGGGAGAGAAGGAAAACAGGGAGACCAGTAAGGTAACTACATTTCCAGAACCAAGGTAGTCTTTAACTAGGATGGTGCCAGTTGCAACAATAAAAAAGGTCATTTCCAGAGACTCAGAACCAGTGGTTGAAGAAATTAACCATGCATCTTCATCACCCATCCGGTGCTCCCAATAACATATTAATCCTGTGTAAATAAAGCATTTTTAACAGCCTGCTTTTTGTATTAACGTGTAACATACAACATTGTTTTTTGGTTTTGGGTTTTTTTGAAGAGAATATAAGTGCTATGCACATTAAAGCTTCAGGACATGCCCCATGCCCCTAGCACAAGACGGCTGCCCTCCAACCCCCATACATATTAAGCCTCCCACTGCCAGGGCTTAAATTAAATGTTGGATAGACCAAGTAAGGCCAAAGTCCTGGGGCCGGGTGACCGGGGGAATGAAAGCCACTGGTCAATTTCAGTGAGGTGTGCTATCCAGGTGAGAATCTCCAACAGGCACTTGGAAATTCGGATCCCAAGCTCTACTTAACAGAATAACAGTGTTTCAACAAGCAAGCTAAAAATAACTGTATTTATGAAAATACTTTGCAATGTGATAACCGTTATTGGAAACTTCGTCTAATTTAAAATTTTATTCTAGGGTCACGGTTAGATAAATAATACATTTGAATGCTTCTTATTAAAAACCAAACCAAACCAAACCAAAAACCTGTATTACGGCTAAGTCTGTTTAAAGTGGATTTACTAAAAATCCACTTTGGTCAATAACAAGGATGGAAAGAAAGCAGGTGGAAAGGAAGCTGACCCAGGGAAACTAATCTCCAACAAGGGAGACCATTTCAGGAAACTCAAGGGCTCAGGATGCCTGGCCAGCCGTAAGCAGAGCAAGCCCAGGGGAGGCCCTGAGTTCCGGGGTGGACGGACTGCGGAGCTATGTGAAAACCGGCCCAGGACCTTTCCGAGATAGGACATCACCCCGGGACAGTAATGAAAAGGGGCAGCGGATCTGAGGGACAGAGCACCAGCTTCTTCCCAAACCCAGGGAGGAGAACCTTCTCTCTCCCAAGGGCGGAGACCCCTCAGACAAAGACTCCAGCCAGGGGAGGAGCCCGAAGTGCGCGTGCGCCATGGAACGCGCATGCGCGTAGCGGCCAACGCCGCGGCTCGAGGTGTCGAGGGAGGGGAGGGAGGAGAAGCGAAGCGTCAAAAGGAGGGAGCCAGGAGGCTGGGGCGGGCCGAGTGGTGGGGTGCTCGCGCGCGCCCACTGGTGGCCGGAGGAGAAAACGTCCGCGAAGGCCTCGCTGCCCACCCCTCCCTTGGGGAGGCTCGCGCTCCCGCTGCTCGCGCCTGCGCCGCCCGCCGGCCTCGGGAGCGCGCCCTCTCGCTGGTGCGCGCGCTCGCAATCTTCGCCACCCACCAGCTCCCGCACCCGCAGCAGAGCCGCCGCCGCCGCCCACCTTCTGCCGCTGCCACCACAGCCACTTTCTCCTCTCTTTCCTCTACTGTCCTCGCCCTCTGTCGACTATCAGGTAAGCGCGAGGCTCCTAAATCTGCCTCCTCGTCCGCCCCCTTGCACCCCCAGGCTGCCGCCCCTCGTCCCCCGCCTCAGAGATGGGTTTCATGAGGTAAGCATAGGTCGGGGGCAACGGCTGGGGCCCCTCCCTGCGCCCTGTGCGCTCCGGGGCTGGGACTAGGGCGTCTTGAAAAGGTACCCATGCAAGGGATGCACGCGCGCGCGCGTGTGTGTGTGTATGTGTGTGTGTGTGTGTTGGGGGGTGTCCTTAAAGACCCGCTGCGCGCGGACCCGGGCAGAGGTTGTGCCCGAAGGGTGGGGCGCGGATGGCGGTGACCTGGGGGAGGGGGCTGCTGTGCACTCTCGATCGTCACCTTTTGCCGCAATGGGCGTGTGTCTGTATGTGTGTGTGTTGGGGGGTGTCCAATGACGACCCCCGAAACCGAACCTGTAATCCGATTTCTCTGCTTTGGTTGGCCATAGGCCCTTCAGGAAGGTATGGATCCGGTTCTAGAAAAGATGAATCCCTGCCTACCCCTCCCTACACCTCCCCGGCAGCAATTCCAGTGGGGCTTTCACTGCCCCTGATTTAAGGCGGTGGCCCACCCCCTCCCCCTTTTCCTCCTTCAGAAACCCACAGGGGACATTTGGGGGCTGGGAGTGGAATCGAGGAGATGGGGAGGGGTCCAGGAGCTGTCACTTTAGTTGCCCTTCCCCCTGCGCGCGCCTGGCACCGAGACGCGAGCAGCGCCGTGCCCGAGAGAAGGTAGTGCGCGGATCCCGATGTGGAGGCTCCGAAAGGCGAAAAGGCTGGAGTCACCTGGCCTTGCAATGTGGAAGGACTGGGCAGCGGCGGATCCCCGCTCGCTGGCGCTCGCAGCCGCAGCCGTGCACAGACAGGCGCGGGGGCTGCAGGTGCATTTCGGGGCGGGCCCCTTTCTCTGCGCTCTGCGCCTGGCGTCCGGCGTGAGCGCTCCCTGCAGGAGGCGCGGGGCTGACGCGCAGGGCTCGCCCCTCACTGCGGCAGTGGGTGTGGACCCGGGTGGGCAAGGAGGGGGAGGGTAGACTGTGCCTCCTCCCGCTCCCACCCCTGCTTTTTTTTTCCCCTTCCAGACGCGAGGTGCCATCTTTTTGCGGCGTGTCACGTCTTTACTGTACCGTGCCAAGCCGGGTGGCTAGGCTTTGGAGGACAGGGCGGGGACTGTAATTAAGTGGGGACCCCCACTTAGTAATAATTCAGTAATCAACGCTGAAATCTTGGTATTTTGCTGCTGTGAGCTTGAGCCCTGGGGGCGTTCACCTGGAATCTTTCTCGGGGGCTAGATGCTTTGTTTGTAGGGCTTACGTGATCTGCGCTGCCAGCCCTGTTTTTTTTTGGCTCTTATCTAAGAGAGGTTTAACCTAGGCCCCCGCCTTTCCCCCTATTTTCCGCCCCTCATTTTCGAGCCCTCTGTTAGATCTCGGGCTGGCTGGGGTCACGGATGGAACGGGCGTGACCCCGCTCGGCCCCCTCCTGGAGCCGGGTGGCGCGCCAGGAAGCGTCCGCGGGGCCGAAGGGCTGGGATTCGAGATCTCTGCGCGCTGTGCCGGGGGCCGCAGAGGGAGGAAGACCCTCCCTACACCCCGAGAGGCCTGGGGGCCACCTCCCACGGGCTGCCCACCAAGGGTCACCAGCGACCCCTGGGAGGTGGCGGGGACAGCGCGCAGGCGGAGCCCCTCTCCGCTTCATGCCCTGTTGCTTCGCCAGGCGAGAGGATGTAAGGAGAGGGGAAGAGGGCTCCTCCTGTGCTTCGGGCCACACCCATTTTTCCTGAGATGCCTGGGGGGGGGGGGGGTCGCGGAGGGGTGGTTGCTGTGGAAATCACACGCGTCCCAAGAAGGGACCTCTGGGCGTTGCCCCGCCCCTTCCCAGCCAAGATTGAGAACCCTAGGGGCAGGCGAGGCCGCGGCCCCTCAGTCTTTCCCAGGCCGCTGGAGGGAGACCCCCCCACCTCAACCCTGAGCGGGTGACTCTTTATAATGGGCCTCCGGCGGCCTCAGCCACCCAGATCAGCGTCCCTCGTGTATTCTTATTATTGTGGCCGAATATTATTTTGGAAACGTACAAGATTTTAACTTGAATGCCCGAGTACACCGCCTCCCTTGGAACGGGGCCGGGAGCGGGGAAGGGGGGTATGGACCCCTGGCAAAGGAGTCGGAGCCTCGCCCTCCTGCGATGAGCCGGGTCCGCGCGGTTTTCTGGTTAATTCTATCGCTGCAAACTGATGCGGGGGCGCAGTTCCGAGAGGGATGAACATCTCTGGAACCGAATCATGCACGCGAGCCGCACAGCTTGATCCAAATGTCCAGGGAATGGTCCGGCTCCGGGTCGAGAGCCCGCCAGAGGCCAGGCCGAACCTTCCCGGCTGTAGCGTCGAAGGTCGGAGCCCGGGTAGTGTGGGGCCTCCCTGCAGAGTTGAGTCCGCCAAGGGTGGCGTGCAGGAGAGGCTCAAGGATCATTTCGAGCATCTTCTCCGCTCGCCCCTCTCCACCTCCTCCACCCTAGAACTGGGCGCGGAATTCAGGTTCCAGACAGAGCGAGGGTCTCGGAGCGGCCCTGAGAATCGGTAACCCGCGGCCATGGGTGCCCGGGGCGGACCGAGGGCGGAGGGGTCACCTCCTGTCGATGGAGGGAAAGGGAGCGTGGCGGGAGCGAGCACATTTAGCTCAATGCCGGAAACAAAGCGCAGTCCAGACGTCCGCGATTTTGCTCCATTTTGAAATGTGTTGGAGCTTTGGTGGGTCTCTTGATCTGCATCCCGGGCGCCAGGGGATGGATCTTCGTAAGTGGATTTGGAAACACCATCCCAGCTCTCCGCGCGCTTGAACTAAACGGCTTCCCCCCTCCCCCTCCCCCTCCCCCTCCCGGGATCTCGAGGGATGCAGCATTTGCGCCCATGCTCCGACGGGAAATGTCCGGGCACGGATCCGAGGGCCATCGATTCCTGTCCCCGATCCCCAACAGGCGGGAGCTCATTTACGACCCCACTTGGCCTCTGGCACCCAGGAACCTCCTGGCCCGGTCTCCAGCTGGGCTGAGTTGGGATGGATGATGGATCCTGGGAGAGCGACTGCGGGGCCTGGCTCTCCAGGCCACCTCTCCTGTGTGCTCAGGTTCGGCAGGATGGCTTTTTGATCCCTTACCCCTCCAACTGACTGTCCTACAGCAGAAAAAGAAATGTCTTTCCTACCAAAATTAATGAAGGTATTATTTTGCATTTTATGATGCTGCTTAGGTTTGCTAGATAAGAATTGCTTATCTATTCCTCCATCTCCAAACCCTTCCTCTATACAATAAATGAATTACCACCCCATCCCACTCCATCCCAGTGGCTGGTCTCCAGTGACTCCTGAAGCTAATCAATTTCTTGACCAACAATTGCTTCTGAAACAGCTTGTGTTTACTGCAATAACCAGGCTTGGCTCTTGGGGTTGCCTTTGGATAGTTTGTGGGAGAGTTTTGTTGGCTTTGCTGGGTTTTGGACGAGTGACAGTCCATGTTTTATGTGCCTGCCCCACACAGACCTCCTCTGCATCTGCCCTTGGTGGAAGGGCGTGGCTTTGAACTGGTTTCAGGTATCAGGCTCAGCATCCCTGACAGGAACAAAAGAAACGGATTATTCCCACAAATTGCAAGAAAACTTAGAATCAGTTTGACTGAGAAAGGGTCAGATATACTCCAATTGGGGAAAGAGCCCCTTCTATTGAACAGGCACTTTGACCCACATGCCCTTGGAGGGCAGTGCCAGCCTGGAGATGTAACAGGATTGTGGTGCCCTTTGTTTAGGCTGAATTTTCTTTCTGCCCTTTTAACATCAGTTCATGAAGCCCATTTGTTGAAAATTTTTAAAAGTTGTGTTTTATTACAACTTCCCTCAGCATTTATGTATATGAATATGGTTTGAGTGGCTCCACAGCTGTATATGAACATATATTAATTTTCTAGTTAAACACATGATAGTTTTCCAACTAGATAGTATTCTCCTTACTCCCACCTTGAAAAAGAATCACTCAGAAACAAATAAAAACACCCCCAGAGGCTTAATACAGTGCTAGACATACAAATAAATGGGCAAAATGGGAAAATGCAGGTTAAAAAGGTGGCAAAAAGAAAATAGAATGGGGGGCTATATTCAAGGTCATGGCATCAGGAAGGTTTGGGGACAAATCCAGTCCAGTTTGTCCCCTATCAGTGTCCAACTGGCACCCAGAAAGTGGCCTGTGCCCCTTGGTGCACCTCCACACCCTCCCTCCTCTGCTTCTGAGCCTTCTCCCTTCCCGGTACAGCACTCCTTGGCCCCAGAGCCCCGTCCCCACTACTCACCCCACCCTGGTTGGCCAGAAGAGTTCAGGAGAGAGGGTGGGAAGAAAGCACACAATACCCCAGGGGGAAAGAAGACCCTGCCCTGTCATCTCTGGGACTCTAGGTTCTCCTGGTGCCAGAGGTCAGAAGGATGGGGTGGGAAACCCCATTTGTCTCTGCCCCTTCCCCTTCCTCCTGCCCTGCATTTTTCATTATCCCACTTCAAAAACTGCCCCTCAACCCCTCCGCATCCCCAGAAATATCCACCTGATTAATCGCTCCTAACTTGCCACCCTCGCTGCTTCCATGGTGATTTGCAGGAGCCCCGGCATTGAGGGGCACACCTGAGCAGGTGAGGGGAAGAGAAGACTGCTGCCTCACCAGCTGGGCTGCTTCCGGGAGAGGACCCCAATATTCCAGCTGGGACTCTTGGCTGTTTTCCTGTAAAACAGTGGTGTTCAGTCCCCAGGGCCATTGAGATGTCTAGAGATGCTTTTAATTTTCACAACTGGGGTGGGTGCAACAGGCACCTAGTGGGTAGAAACCAGAGACACTGCCAAACCTCCTGCAGTGCACAGGACAGTCCCCCACATCAAAGAATATCCAGCCCCAAATGTCGCTCATGCCAGGGTCAGAAGCCCTGCTATAGAAACATTGTTACTTTGGCACTCCTA